TTGACAGTTATTTTGTGTTTCTTCCATTTGCGATTAATCGCACCAACTCTTGTCACCTTCTCACCAAGCTGCTTGGCAATGGTCTTGTAGCCCATTCCAGCCTTCTGAAGGTCTACAATATTGTCCCTGACATCCTTGGAGAGCTCTTTGGTCTTGGCCAAGGTGGAGAGTTTGGAATCTGATTGATTGCTTCTGTGGACAGGTATCTTTTATACAAGTAACAAACTGAGATTAGGAGCACTCCCTTTAAGAGTGTGGTCCTAATCTCAGCTCGTTACTTGTATAAAAGACACCTGGGAGCCAGAAATCTTTCTGATTGATAAGGGGTCAAATACATATTTCCCTCATTAAAATGAAAATCAATTTATAACATTTTTGACATGCGTTTTTCTGGATTTTTTTGTTGTTATTCTGTCTCTCACTGTTCAAATAAACCTACCATTAAAATTATAGACTGATCATTTCTTTGTCAGTGTGCAAACTTACAAAACAGCAGGGGATCAAATACTTTTTTCCCTCACTGTATGTGTCTCTAATATGGTCATACATTTGGTAGGAGGTTAGGAAGTGCAGCTCAGTTTCCACCTCATTTTGTGGGCAGTGTGCACATAGCCTGTCTTCTCTTGAGAGCCAGTTCTGCCTACGGTGGCCTTTCTCATTAGCAAGGCTATGCTTACTGAGTCTGTACATAGTCAAAGCTTTCCTTAAGTTTGGTTCAGTCACAGGGGTCAGGTATTCTGCCACTGTGTACTCTGTTTTTTTTTGTTAATTCTTTCCAATGTGTCAAGTAATTCTCTTTTTGTTTCTCATGATTTGGTTGTGTCTAATTGTGTTGTTGTCCTGGTGCTCTGTGGGGTCTGTTTGTGTTTGTGAACAGAGCCCCAGGACGAGCTTGCTTAGGGGACTCTTCTCCAATAATAATAATAATAATATGCCATTTAGCAGACGCTTTTATCCAAAGCGACTTACAGTCATGCGTGCATACATTTTTGTGTATGGGTGGTCCCGGGGATCAAACCCACTACCTTGGCGTTACAAGCGCCGTGCTCTACCAGCTGAGCTACAGAGGACCAAGTTCATCTCTCTGTAGGTGATGGCTTTGTCATGGAAGGTTTGGGAATCGCCGGTTATAGAATTTAACGGCTCTCTTCTGGATTTTGATAATTAGACGGTATCGGCCTAATTCTGCTCTGCATGCATTATTTTGTGTTTTCGTTGTACACAGAGGATATTTTTGCAATTTGGTGTTTGTCACATTTTGTGAATTGGTTGGTGAGCCGACCCCAGACCTAACAATCATAAAGGGCAATGGGTTCTATAACTGATTCAAATATTTTTAGACAGATCCTTATTGGTATGTCGAATTTTATGTTCCTTCTTGCCTTGTCTCTCAGATCGTTCACAGCTTTGTGGAAGTACCTGTGGCGCAAATGTTTTGGCCGAGGTATGTTTAGTTTTTTGAGTGCTCTAGGGCAACGGTGTCTAGTTGGAATTTGTATTTGTGGTCCTGGAAACTGGACCTTTTCTGGAACACAATTATTTTTGTCTTACTGAGATTTACTGTCAGGGCCCAGGTCTGACAGAATCTGTGCAGAAGTTCTAGGTGCTGCTGTAGGCCCTCCTTGGTTGGTGACAGAAGCACCAGATCATCAGCATATAGTAGACATTTGACTTCAGAGTCTAGTAGGGTGAGGCCGGGTGCTGCAGACTTTTCTAGTGCCCTCGCCAAATCGTTGATATATATGTTGAAGAGGGCGGGGCTTTAAATTGCATCCCTGTCTCACCCCACGACCCTGTGGAAAGAAATGTGTGTGTTTTTTTGCCAATTTTAACCGCACACTTGTTGTTTGTGTACATAGATTTTATAATGTCGTATGTTTTTCCCCGAAGCCCACTTTCCATCAATTTGTATAGCAGATCCTCATGCCAAATTGAGTCAAAAGCTTTTTTGAAATCAACAAAGCATGATAAGACTTTGCCTTTGTTTTGTTTTTGTTTTTTGTCAATTAGGGTGTGCAGGGTGAATACGTGGTCTGTGGTACGGTAATTTCGTAAAAATCCTATTTAACATTTGCTCAGTACATTGTTTTCACTGAGGAAATGAACTAGTCTGCTGTTAATGATAAAGCGGAGGATTTTCCCAAGGTTGCTGTTGATGCATATCCCAAGGTAGTTATTGGGGTCAAATTTGTCTCCACTTTTGTGGATTGGGGTGATCAGTGCTTCGTTCCAAATATTGAGGAAGATGCCAGAGCTAAGGATGATGTTAAAGAGTTTAAGTATAGCCAATTGGAATTTGTGGTATGTATATTTTATCATTTCATTGAGGATACCATCAACACCACAGGACTTTTTGGGTTGGAGGGTTTGTATTTTGTCCTGTAGTTCATTCAATGCAATTGGAGAATCCAGTGGGTTCTGGTAGTCTTTAATTGTTGATTTTAAGATTTGCATTTGATCATGTATATTTTTTTGCTGTTTGTACTTTGTTATAGGGCCAAAAAGAATGGAGACGTTGTTTACCCGTACATCTCCATTTTGGATAGATTTCTCTTCGTGTTGTTGTTTGTCTAGTGTTTTTAAATTTTCCCAGAAGTGCTTAGAGTCTATGGATTCTTCAATTACATTGAGCTGATTTCTGACATGCTGTTCCTTCTTTTTCCATAGTGTATTTCTGTATTGTTTTAGTGATTCACCATAGTGAAGGCGTAGGCTCAGGTTTTCTGGGTCTCTATGTTTTTGGTTGGATAGGTTTCTCAATTTCTTTCTTAGGTTTTTGCATTCTTCATCAAACCATTTGTCATTGTTGTTACTTTTCTTCTGTTTTCTGTTAGAGATTTTTAGATTTGATAGGGAAGCTGAGAGGTCAAATATACTGTTTAGGTTTTCTACTGCCAAGTTTACACTTCACTATTACAGTGGAATGTTTTGTCCAAGAAGTTGTCTAAAAGGGATTTAATTTGTTGTTGCCTAATTGTTTTTTGGTAGGTTTCGACACTACTTTCCTTCCATCTATAGCATTTCTTAATATTATTCAGTTCCTTTGGCTTTGATGCCTCATGATTGAGTATTGCTCTGTTCAAGTAGACTGTGATTTTGCTGTGGTCTGATAGATATGTCAGTGGGCTGACTGTGAACGCTCTGAGAGACTCTGGGTTGAGGTCAGTGATAAAGTTGTCTACAGTACTACTGCCAAGAGATGAGCTATAGGTGTACCTACCATAGGAGTCGACTCGAAGCCTACCATTGACTATGTACATACCCAGCGTGCGACAGAGCTGCAGGAGTTGTGACCCGTTTGACTAGTACATGTCCCTGGGTCTGGAAATGATTGATTTCCTCATCCAGGATGGAGAAGCTGTCTTCATTGAAGTATGGGGATTCTAGTGGGGGGATATAGGTAGCACACACGAGGACATTTCTCTCTCCCTCTCTCTCGCTCTCTCTCTCTCTCTCTCTCTCTCTCTCTCTCTCTGTGTGTGGTGTGTGTCTCTCTATCTCTGTCTGAAGCTCTCTCTCTCTCTCTCTCACTCTCTCTCTCTCTCTCTCACTCTCTCTCTCTCTCTCTCTCTCTCGCTCTCTCACTCACTCTCTCTCTCTCGCTCTCTCTCTCTCTCTCTCTCTCTCTTGCTCTCCTTCACAGCTGGGCAGCAGATGGCTGTGTATGAGCCTGAAGAATACAGCAAATACACAGGAAATAAAACAATACATGCCTGTTCATGTGAAGGCGGGATTAATTGTGAAACATTTATTTCCTTCTCGTTTTAAAGGGTGAAAATAAATAACGGTTTCTTCTGAACGCAGTCCAAGCAAAATGTGGAGACTGTCTGCGTGAGTGGAGCATGTGTTTGTTTGTCTGTTCTAATTGTTTTGACAATGCCTCAGGATCTCATTCTGGGGTTTGGCTTCGACGCTCCATTGCAACATACAGTACCAGCTGCTACAGCCTGAGGACTTCATTCAGGGATTTGCATACAGAGTATTCTCATCCATCAGAGACGGGAGGACTGTGGCTACCTGACCAATTAAAACACAGCTTGAGTTTCGATGAGGTTGATTATTAATATTGGGCCACTTGACTTGTGTATACAGTAATTCAATATATTTAGACCGTTGTCACAGATGTGCGCAATCAAGTGCAGTGCAATCCGTTTCCCCAATCCTGAAGGTTTTGTTCCTTTTTTTTTTTGTATTCCATGATTAGGTAAAAGGAGATTGCGATGCATGCCTACCATGCCTAAGTCTTTCACAGTAGAGAGTGACAAATGGTTTTGATGCTGGGTTATACACGGAGAAGGAGCTGCTCATTGCAAACATGTTGAGGTCTGAAAAGCTTCCCTGTAAATGGTTTAATCAACGTTGGTAGTCAGTTAATACCGAGGATTAGAATTACATCAAATGGCCCATCAGGGCGGAAACCAGCCTCCTATGTTTACGCTTTGTGTTCATGCCTCCGAGCCTGGGAACAATGTGAAAATCTCAAATTAAATGCAAATGTTAATTTAGGGAGTTACTCGGCTTTGTGGCCTGTAATGACTGCGTTTGGATTGAGACACATAAACATTCTCCAAACAGGTCTTTGGCTGAGAGTTCAGGCTAACATAATAGCCAACAGGATAGCCAACAGAATAGCCAACAGAGCGACTTACCGTAGGGAGTACATTGTCAAACAGGTCCCCCGTGGGAATCAAACCCACAACCCTGGCGGTGCAAGCGTCTTGCTCTACCAACTGAGCCACACGGGACCATTACAAAAACCATTACAAAACTTTGGTGAACGTGTCAGGGGCCAAAGGCAGATGTACAATAAGTTGACAATTACCACCAGTGACCAATTATAAATGCGTAGCATCAATAACATTTACATTTAGTTGACACTAGTCTTATCCAGTGCGAACCACAATAAGTGTATTCAACTAAGATAGGTGAGACAAACTCATTGTGAATCACTTCCACCATTGTTGTCGTTGTCTCCGATTCTCAATAGGTATCGAACGTATATGAAGCCGCGGTACAAGGTGACCTACAAGATGGTGACGGACATGGAGTGGACGTGTTGCCATGGTTACACCGGGGATGACTGTAGCGAAGGGCCGAGCGGAGGGTCGGGGACCCAGATCGCCACAGCCAGACCCAAACCGTCCCGACCGGGACAGACCGGAACCAACACAGGTCATGGAGGACAGAGTGGGGGAGACGGTGGGTGTACGTTTACGTTCCTGCTCTCCCTCTTCTCATTCCTCCTCTTCAGTCCTTGTCTTCTCCATTTTTCATGGGAGCTCTCATCCTCTTATGACATAGTATAATAGTATTGTGTTTGTGTTCCAGGGCGAGGCGACAGCGACAAGATGCGGCAGCTGGAGGACAAGATCCAGAGCCTGACCAAGGACCTCCATGACCTGCAGTCCACGCTAAGGGGCATGAACGAACGCTTCCAGGAGGAGATGCGCAAACCGGGCTTCAGCGGCGGTGGCGCCAAGACCCCAGCGGACGCGGCCCAGCCGGAAATTAAGGACACCATCCACAGCATCCAGACCAAACTAGACCAGCTGGACAACCGGACCCAGGCCCACGACAAGACCCTGGTCAGCATCAACAACCACCTGGTCAATGGAAATGGCGGCAGCGGGAATGATCTCGGGGGTGGGGGTGGTGCTGGCGGGTCCTCTGGAGGCACCGGAGGGATTAGCGGCGGGAAACTCAACACGCTGAAAGAGGAGATCCTGAGGGAGCTGGAGAGAAGGGTGTCTCTGTCCTGCTCTTCTTGCCAGTCAGGGGGTGGAGGACCTGCGGAGGCAGCAGCAGGAGGACAGGGAGAGGATCCGAGCGCTGGAGAAGCAGCTGAACTCCGTGGACGGACGATATCGCCAGAGCCTGGATGGCCTGCGCCGCGAGGTGACACGCTCCCAGGGCTGCTGCGACTCCGTCACCGACCTCAAGAACAGGGTCACAGATGCTGAGAGGACGATCGGCTCCATTTCAGAGAACTACGACATCATCCAGAACCGCCTAGATAAGGAGCTAGGCAGTGGCGGCGGAGGTTTCGCAGGAGGTGGAGGTGGCTTTGGCCCTGGAGGTGATGGCTTTGGCCCTGGAGGTGGCAGCGGGTTACCAAGGGTGATAGAGGACAGGCTGGACGGTCGTCTGAGGGACCTTGAGAGGCGGGTGAACAGCACAATGCAGCACACAGAGGAGAGCTGCGTCGTCATAGAGAACGACCTGAAGGACTACTTCCACCGTGAGCTGGGCGACCTCCGGACCGTGTTCCTGGACCGTTTTGACGACCAGGGATACCGCATCGGAGACATAGAGCTAGACGTGGGCATTGTAAAGGACCGCGTGTCGGACCACGACAAGAAGCTGACCCGCCTGGAGAACTCCACGGTGCTACTAGACAAGAGTCTGACTGACTGTGGCTGTGGAGTAATAGGAGGAGGAGCTGAAGGAGGAGGAGTTGGAGGAGGTGGAAGAGGAGATGGAGGAGGAAGAGGAGGAAGTAGAGGAACTGGAGGAACAGCGGGAATTGGAGGGAGAGGAGATGGAGGTGGAGCAGGAGAAGGAGGAAGGGGAGATGTAGGAGGAACAGGAGGAACAGGAACCGAAGGAAGGAGAGATGGAGGAAGAGGAGGAACAGGGGGAACCGGAGGAGGATGGGGTGGAGCTGGAGGGGACGGAGGAAACGATTATGAGGGAGACTCTGTGAAGTCTATCACCTGGAGGGTGGTGGCCAATGAGGACGAGATCCGCCGTTTCGACACGCGGATCAAGGACCTGTCTGTCTCGGGCGACTCCCTCATGGACAAAGTGGTGGACCTCAGCCACGACATCCGCAAGATCAAAGCCCTGACCGGAGACAACGGCGAGCACTTCAACCGCATCATCACAGAGATCGAGACGCTGGGGCGCGGCATGGACGACTGTGACATCTGTGGAAGAGTGGAAGACGAGTTGAAGAAGCTGAAGAACCACACCCTGAACAACTGGGAGAAGGACATCAACGCCATCCGGAACCGGGTGGATTCGGACCAAAGCTCCTGCTCCCAGGTGTGCTCCACACTACAGGAAGAGGTAGGGAAACTCCGGGAGGAGGTGGGGAAGTGTAGCGACCAGTGTAAGATCCACCTGGAGACCCCAACAACAGGAGGTGGCACTGGAGGAGGAGGCCTGGATGACCCTGAGAAGCCCCTGGACGGTCACAGTGTGATCGGAGGCATGTCCAACAACGGCCACCTCAAGTCCCTGCATGGCGAACTGTCCGAGGTCATCCTGACCTTCAGCTCCATCAACGACACACTGAGGGGCCTGGAGCACACAGTGCAGAAACATGGCAGCGTCATCACCGACCTGGGCAACACCAAGGACAAGATCATCTCTGAGCTGGACAAGATACAGCAGGAGGTGACTGAGCACATCGAGAAGAGCCGCGACCGCTTCGACGGGGTGGATCGCGATGTGCGCCGCTTCGAGAGAACCCTAGTGGTGGAGGTGGGCGACTGCAAGCGATCTGGCGATGGCCTGGAGAAGAGGCTGTCCAAGATGGAGGGCGTGTGCGGACGGCTGGACGGCGTCTCCAACTCGCTCCAGAGGATCAAGGAGGGGCTGAACAAGCACGTGTCGGGCCTGTGGAACTGTGTGAACGGTCTGAACGCCACGGTCATCTCCCATGGAGGGTTCATTGAGAACATCCAGACCACTCAGCTGGATGGGATCCACGGGAAGATCAAGAACCTCAACTCCTCCGTCAGCCACATCCTCAAGGAGTTCCAGAATCTTTCGGAACAGGACCTGACTGGTGAGTGTGTTGACTTGACATGGTATTCCTTTCAGAGAGGTTATGATCTAGACCAGGGCTCTCCAACCCTGTTCCTGGAGAGCTACCCTCCTGTAGGTTTACACCAGGGCTCTCCAACCCTGTTCCTGGAGAGCTACCCTCCTGTAGGTTTACACCAGGGCTCTCCAATCCTGTTCCTGGAGAGCTGCCCTCCTGTAGGTTTTTACTCCAACTCTGTTCCTGGAGAACTACAGTCATGGAGGTGCGCTTGATTAGGGTTGGAGTGAAAACCTAGAGGACGGTAGCTCTCCAGAAACAGGGTTGGAGAGCCCTGATCTAGATCCAATATTGTAACTACAGGATTTCCATTGAGTTCATACTGAAATTTATATAGTTCTCTTTTGATTAAACTTATCCTCTCTCTCTCATGTTCTGCTTTGTAGGTGTGCAGTTGGTTAGAGGTTTGAATGGTACACAACTTTTGGTAAAACTGTACTAAAACCGTCATGTGTCTTAAACGCTAGACTAACCTTGTCCTGTCTATACTTGACCAGTCTACGAGACAGCACATCCAGTGGGTATAAGGACACAATGAACACTAGTGTAAATGTAAAGTCTCAAGTAACACATTTGCACCCAAGTGTCAACATACAGAACAGCGCTAGCGACAATAAACACAGAGGCCCATCGAACAACACCAAGAAACAGACCGATGATTACAAAAACCATTCATAATCCAATAATTAAAACTAACAGTGTCTATTTGTGTAGTATGTGAGTTTCACACATGTTAAATGGTGGCCTGCTATTATTGTGTCTGTCTGTTATGCAGCCTTTCATAACACTCCTCGAGGCTTCTCAGGTTGCACATGTCTCAGTGTTCAAATAATCTGATGCTTCTGTGTCTGGAGGGAACAATGGCAAAGCTGTATTATATTTCATAATACCTCATTCGGTGACATATCTGAAAGAGAAAACTCCACTGTATTGTTATGTGTTTTTTTCTGGAATGTGTTCTATGTTCTGTGTCCCCTGAATGGCCGTCTTCGGGTGAACTTTGATTATTTCAGTTAAATATATGTAAATAATTAAAGTTACTTAAATTATTAAATTACTGAAATAACTTAAATAAATACGTAATATTTAAATTATAACATGTATTGATTATTCAACTACTTAATTTTTTTAAAATTTGAAGTTATTAACATTGTTGTCATTGCATCCCACCACCCCAGGCCTGCCTGGTCCTCCAGGTCCCTCTGGGGAGAGAGGGTTTCAAGGGATGCCTGGCGCTAACGGGCCCCAAGGCAGGGATGGACCCCAGGGCAGGCAGGGAGAGAACGGGCCCAGAGGACCACCAGGTTAACAGGAACCATACAAGCCCTTTATAATTTTTATGCCTCAGGAAATGTTTTTATATGTGTATATGTTGATGTTTGACTGAACGGTTTGAATCAGTCTGACTCGTCTCTTCCTCTCTTTTTTCACTCCAGGCCTCAAAGGTGAACAAGGTATGTTCATGTTTCATTATTTCCATTTGAGTTCTACTGTTAGCAATGTGCTAATGCAGTCAACAGTGCTGTGTGTTACATGCCATTACATAACATGAGTATTGCTGAGGGTCATTAACAGTCAGGGTGAATGGAGTTCGGTGTAAGTTTGTGTGGGGGTCACCGTATAGGTCAGAGGTCAGCATTGGGCCAATGAGAACATGAATCCTCAGAGGCAGCCAGGAAATGTGCACATAGTGCTTCCTGGGTCAGCTTGAAGGTAACATGTGGTGATTGTGAGATACGTACATAATGCGGCCATTAGCTTGTATGGGTGTGTGTGTGTGTGCACGTGCTTGTGTGTTTGTGTGTGTGTGTGTGTATGCACGTGTCCCTTTGTGTGTGTGTGTTTTCTTGTGAAGCTAGAGTTGTTGGCCCCTTTTTGTTTTACATAACCTGTAACATTCCTATCATGAAGGCAGCTGCATCTGAACTATACTGACCAAAAATATAAACGCAACATGTAAAGTGTCGATCCCATGTTACATGAGCTGAAATAAAAGATCCCAGAAATGTTTCCATATCTCCTTTGCAAAGATAATCCATCCACCTGTCAGGTGTGGCATATCAAGAAGCTGATTAAATAGCATGATCATTACACAGGTGCACCTTGTGCTGGGGACAACGATGGCCACTGGCACACTGGAGACGTGTGCTCTTCACAGATGAATCCCGGTTTCAACTGTACTGGGCAGATGGCAGACAGCATGTATGGCGTCGTGTGGGCGAGCGGTTTGCTAATGTCAACGTTATTAAACGTTGTGAACAGAGTGCCCCATGGTGGCGGTGGGGTTATGGTATGGGCAGGCATAAGCTACGGACAACGAACACAATTGTATTTTATTGATGGCAATTTGAATGCACAGAGATACCGTGACGAGATCCTGAGGCCCATTGTCGTGTCATTCATCTGCCGCCATCACCTCATCTTTCAGCATGATAATGCACAGCCCCATGTTGCAAGGATCTATACACAATTCCTGGAAGCAGAAAATGTCCCAGTTTTTCCATGACCAGACATGTCACCCTTTGAGCAAGTTTGGGATGCTCTGGATCGACGTGTACGACAGCGTGTTCCAGTTCCCGCCAATATCCAGCAACTTTGATCAGCTATTGAAGAGGAGTGGGACAACATTCCACAGGCCACAATCAACAGCTTGATCACTCGATGCGAAGGAGATGTGTCGCGCTGCATGAGGCAAATGATGGTCACACCATATACTGACTGGTTTTCTGATCCACGCCCCTACTTTTTTTAAAAGGTATCTGTGACCAACAGATGCATATCTTTATTCCCAGTCATGTGAAATCCATAGATTAGGGCCTATTTAACTTATTTCAATTGACTGATTTCCTTATATGAACTGTAACTCAGTGAAATCTTTGAAATTGTTGTTGACTTACAGTCATGTGTGCATACATTTTTACGTATGGGTAGTCCCGGGGATCGAACCCACTACCCTGGCATTACAAGCACCATGCTCTACCAATTGAGCTACAAAGGACCACGTTTCTAGGGGATGTAACCGTGTTGAACAAACGTCTCTCTCGCTGTGTTCCCTACACATTGTTTACTTTGCCATTTTGTCTGTAATGAACCGTGAAAATGGATTTCCTCATGTCAGAACAATTAAGTGAAATATCATACATGGTTTAGATAATAACCATGCTCTCTCTCCACTTCTGTTTATTTTTTTTCTGAGATGTTGTTGTAATTTTTTTTCTCCAGGTATGCCAGGTGCCGATGCCAACGTGCCCAAACTGTCCTTCTCTGTCGCTCTCACCTACCCCATGCTCAGCGCTGGCACCATCGTCTTCGACAAGATCTTTGTCAACGAGGGAGAGTTCTATGACCCGCGGACAGGTACTGAATAGATAGGCCTTGCTGTTGTTTTAGGGTTCACAAACATGATCAGTGCATACTACTGATACTAATACTACTACTGATACCAATGTGTACTGTGAAGAGACACACGCAGGCACAGACACACGCATACACACCCACGATAACATACGCACTATACACACACGTACACATGGATTTTGTGTTGTAGATATGTGGTAGTAGAGTAGGGGCCTGAGGGCACACACTTAGTGTGTTGTGAAATGTATTGTAATGTTTTTAGTTGTATATAACTGCATTAATTTTGCTGGACCCCAGGAAGAGTAGCTGCTGCCTTGGCAGGAACTAATGGGGATCCATAATAAATACAAACACAAATACAAATACTGTGAGTTCAATATACACTACCGTTCAAAAGTATGGGGACACTGAGAAATGTCCTTGTTTTCCATGAAAACTTACGTTTTTCAACCACTCCACAAATGTCTTGTTAACAAACTATAGTTTTGGCAAGTCGGTTAGGACATCTACTTTGTGCATGAAACAAGTAATTTTTCCAGCAATTGTTCACAGACAGATTATTTCACTTATAATTCACTGTATCACAATTCCAGTGGGTCAGAAGTACACTAAGTTGACTGTGCCTTTAAACAGCTTGGAAAATTCCAGAAAATGATGTCATGGCTTTAGAAGCTTCTGATAGGCTAATTGACATCATTTGAGGCAATTGGAGGTGTACCTTTGAATGTATTTCAAGGCCTACCTTCACACTCAGTGCCTCTTTGCTTGACATCATGAAAAAATCAAAAGAAATCAGCCAAGACCTCAGAAAAAAAATTGTAGACCTCCACAAGTCTGGTACATCCTTGGGAGCAATTTCCAAACACCTGAAGATACCACATTCATCTGTACAAACAATGGTACGCAAGTATAAACACCATGGGACCACGCAGCCGTCATACCGCTCAGGAAGGAGACGTGTTCTGTCTCCTAGAGATGATCGTACTTTGGTGCGAAAAGTGCAAATCAGTCCCAGAACAACAGCAAAGGACCTTGTGAAGATGCTGGAGGAAACAGGTACAAAAGTATCTATATCCACAGTAAAACGAGTCCTATATCGACATAACCTGAAAGGCCGCTCAGCAAGGAAGAAGCCACTGCTCCAAAACCGTTATAAAAAAGCCAGACTGCGGTTTGCAACTGCACATGGGGACAAAGATCGTACTTTTTGGAGAAATGTCCTCTGGTCTATTGAAACAAAAATAGAACTGTTTGGCCATAATGACCATCGTTATGTTTGGAGGAGAAAGGGGGATGCTTGCAAGCCGAAGAACACCATCCCAACCATGAAGCACAGGGGTGGCAGCATCATGCTGTGGGGGTGCTTTGCTGCAGGAGGGACTGGTGCACTTTACAAAATAGATGGCATCATGAGGAAGGAAAATTATGTGGATATATTGAAGCAACATCTCAAGACATCAGTCAGGAAGTTAAAGCTTGGTCGCAAATGGGTCTTCCAAATGGACAATAACCCCAAGCATACTTCCAAAGGTGTGGCACAATGGCTTAAGGACAACAAAGTCAAGGTATTGGAGTGGCCATCACAAAGCCCTGACCTCAATCCTATAGAACATTTGTGGGCAGAACTGAAAAAGCGTGTGCGAGCAAGGAGGCCTACAAACCTGACTCAGTTACACCAGCTCTGTCAGGAGGTATGGGCCAAAATTCACCCAACTTATTGTGGAAAGCTTGTGGAAGGCTACCCGAAACGTTTGACCCAAGGTAAGCAATTTAAAGGCAATGCTACCAAATACTAATTGACCCAGTTGGAATGTGATGAAAGAAAAAAAAGCTGAAATAAATAATTCTCTCTACTATTATTCTGACATTTCACATTCTTAAAATAAAATGGTGATCCTAACTGACCTAAAACAGGGACTTAAATGTCAGGAATTGTGAAAAACTGAGTTTAAAGGTATTTGGCTAAGGTGTATGTAAACTTCCGACTTCAACTGTACATGAAATGAGTTTGAATAGGAAAAATAGCAAAATGCATAGGAAATGTAGTCATTGACAAGGTTAGAAATAATGATTTTTAATTGAAAAAATAATTGTGTCCTTCAAACTTTGCTTTCGTCAAAGAATCCTCCATTTGCAGCAATTACAGCCTTGCAGACCTTTGGCATTCTACTTGTCAATTTGTTGAGGTAATCTGAAGATATTTCACCCAATGCTTCCTGAAGCACCTCCCACAAGTTGGATTGGCTTGATGGGCACTTCTTACGTACCATACGGTCAAGCTGCTCCCACAACAGCTCAATAGGGTTGAGATCTGGTGACTGTGCTGACTGCTTCTTCCCTAAATAGTTATTGCATAGTTTGGAGCTGTGCTTTGGGTCATTGGCCTGTTGTAGGAGGAAATTGGCTCCAATCAATCGCTGTCCACAGGATATGGCATGGCGTTGCAAAACGGAGTGATAGCCTTCCTTCTTCAAGATCCCTTTTACCATGTACAAATCTCCCACTTTACCACCACCAACGCATCCCCAGACCATCACATTGCCTCCACCATGCTTGACAGATGGCATCAAGCACTCCTCCAGCATATTTTCATTTGGTCTGCGTCTCACAAATGCTACTTTGTGATCCGAACACCTCAAACTTCGATTCGTCTGTCCATAACACTTTTTTCCAATCTTCCTCTGTCCAGTGTCTGTGTTCTTTTGCCCATCTTAATCTTTCCTTTTTATTGGCCAGTCTGAGGTATGGCTTTTTCTTTGCAACTCTGCCTAGAAGGTCAGCATCCCGGAGTCGCCTCTTCACTGTTGACGTTGAGACTGGTGTTTTGTGGGTACTATTTAATGAAGTTGCCAGTTGAGGACCTGTGAGGCGTCTGTTTCTCAAACTAGACACTCTAATGTATTTGTCCTCTTGCTCAGTTGTGCACCGGGGCCTCCCACTCCTCTTTCTATTCTGGTAAGAGCCAGTTTGCGCTGTTCTGTGAAGGGAGTAGTATACAGCGTTGTACGAGATCTTCAGTTTCTTGGCAATTTCTCACATGGAATAGCCTTCATTTCTCAGAATAAGAATAGACAGATGAGTTTCAGAAGAAAGTTATTTGTTTCTGGCCATTTTGAGCCTGTATCGAACCCACAATTGCTGATGCTCCAGATACTCAACTAGCTTCAAGAAGGCCAGTTTTATTGCTTCTTTAATCAGCACAACAGTTTTCAGCTGTGCTAACATAATTGCAAAAGGGTTTTCTAATGATGAATTAGCCTTTAAAAATGATAAACTTGGATTAGCAAACACAACGTGCCACTGGAACACAGGACTGATGGTTGATAATAATGGGCCTCTGTACGCCTATGTAGATATTCCATTAAAAATCAGCCGTTTCCAGCTACAATGGCTATTTACAACATTAACAATGTCTAAACTGTATTTCAGATCAATTTGATGTTATTTTAATGGACAAAAAAATTGCTTTTCTTTCCAAAAAAAAAAGGACATTTCTAAGTGACCCCAAACTTTTGAATGGTAGTGTACATGTGAAGAGGATTGAAACATGAACCTCATACTCACAAGGTACAGCAGTTAGTTACATTATTGTTTTAGATAATGTACAATGAGCCAACTGTAAAACCAAGCCATAAACCTAAACAAGCAACTGTTTGCTATATATATATATTTTTTATTTTATTTCACCTTTATTTAACCAGGTAAGCCAGTTGAGAACAAGTTCTCATTTACAACTGCGACCTGGCCAAGATAAAGCAAAGCAGTGCGATAAAAACAACACAGAGTTACATATGGGGTAAAAAAACATAAAGTCAAAAATACAACAGAAAATATATATACAGTGTGTGCAAATGTAGCAAGTTATGGAGGTAAGGCAATAAATAGGCTATAGTGCAAAATAATTACAATAGTATTAACACTGGAATGCTAGATGTGCAAGAGATTATGTGCAAATAGAGATACTGGGGTGCAAAAGAGCAAAATAAATAACAATATAGGGATGAGGTAGTTGGGTGGGCTAATTTCAGATGGGCTGTGTACAGGTGCAGTGATCAGTAAGGTGCTCTGACAACTGATGCTTAAAGTTAGTGAGGGAGATAAGAGTCTCCAGCTTCAGAGATTTTTGCAATTCGTTCCAGTCATTGGCAGCAGAGAACTGGAAGGAATGGCGGCCAAAGGAGGTGTTGGCTTTGGGAATGACCAGTGAGATATACCTGCTGGAGCGCAGACTACGGGTGGGTGCTGCTATGGTGACCAATGAGCTAAGATAAAGCGGGGTTTTGCCTAGCAGTGATTTATAGATGGCCTGGAGCCAGTGGGTTTGACGACGAACATGTAGTGAGGACCAGCCAACAAGAGCGTACAGGTCACAGTGGTGGGTAGTGTATGGGGCTTTGGTGACAAAACGGATGGCACTGTGATAGACTACATCCAATTTGCTGAGTAGAGTGTTGGAGGCTATTTTGTAAATGACATCGCCGAAGTCAAGGATCGGTAGGATAGTCAGTTTTACGAGGGCATGTTTGGCAGCATGAGTGAAGGAGGCTTTGTTGCGAAATAGGAAGCCGATTCTAGATTTAACTTTGGATTGGAGATTATTTATGTGAGTCTGGAAGGAGAGTTTACAGTCTAACCAGACACCTAGGTATTTGTAGTTGTCCACATACTCTAGGTCAGACCCGTCGAGAGTGGTGATTCTAGTCGGGTGGGCGGGTGCCAGCAGCGTTCGATTGAAAAGCATGCATTTAGTTTTACTAGTGTTTAAGAGCAGTTGGAGGCTACTGAAGGAGTGTTGTATGGCATTGAAGCTCGTTTGGAGGTTTGTTAACACAGTGTCCAATGAAGGGCCAGATGTATACAAAATGGTGTCGTCTGCGTAGAGGTGGATCTGAGAGTCACCAGCAGCAAGAGCGACATCATTGATATACACTGAGAAAAGTGTCGGCCCAAGAATTGAACCCTGTGGCACCCCCATAGAGACTGCCATAGGTCCAGACAACAGGCCCTCCGATTTGACACACTGAACTCTATCTGAGAAGTAGTTGGTGAACCAGGCAAGGCAGTCATTTGAGAAACCAAGGCTATTTAGTCTGCCAATAAGAATGCGGTGGTTGACAGAGTCGAAAGCCTTGGCCAGGTCGATGAAGACGGCTGCACAGTACTGTCTATTATCAATCGCGGTTATAATAGTTTAGGACCTTGAGCGTGGCTGAAGTGCACCCATGACCAGCTCGGAAACCGGATTGCATAGCGGAGAAGGTACGGTGGTATTCGAAATGGTCGGTGATCTGTTTGTTAACTTGGCTTTCAAATACTTTCGAAAGGCAGGGCAGGATGGATATAGGTCTGTAGCAGTTTGGATCTAGAGTGTCACCCCCTTTGAAGAGGGGGATGACCGCGGCAGCTTTCCAATCTCTGGGGATCTCAGACGTTATGAAAGAGAGGTTGAACAGACTAGTAATAGGGGTTGCGACAATTTCGGCGGCTAGTTTTAGAAAGAAAGGGTCCAGATTGTCTAGCCCAGCTGATTTGTAGGGGTCCAGATTTTGCAGCTCTTTCAGAACATCAGCTGTCTGAATTTGTGTGAAGGAGAAGCGGTGGGGGGGCATGGGCAAGTTGCAGCGGAGGGTGCAGAGTTGGTGGCCGGGGTAGTGGTAGCCAGATGGAAAGCATGGCCAGCCGTAGCAAAATGCTTGTTGAAATTCTCGATTATTGTAGATTTATCGGTGGTGATAGTGTTTCGTAGCCTCAGTGCAGTGGGCAACTGGGAGGAAGTACTCTTATTCTCCATGGACTTTACAGTGTCCCAAAACTTTTTGGAGTTAGTGCTACAGGATGCAAATTTCTGTTTGAAAAAGTTAGCCTTTGCTTTCCTGACTGCTTGTGTATATTGGTTCCTAACTTCCCTGAAAAGTTGCATATCGCGGGGGCTATTTGATGCTAATGCAGTACGCCACAGGATGTTTTTGTGCTGGTCAAGGGCAGTCAAGTCTGAGGAGAACCAGGGGCTATATCGGTTCTTAGTTCTGTATTTTTTGAATGGGGCATGTTTATTTAAGATTGAGAGGAAATTACTTTTAAGGAACAACCAGGCATCCTCTACTGACGGAATGAGATCTATATCCATCCAGGATACCTGGGCTAGGTCAATTAGGAAGAGGTGCTCGCTAAAGTGTTTTAGGGAGCGTTTGACAGTGATGAGGGGTGGTCGTTTGACCGCGGACCTGTTACGGACGCAGGCAATAAGGCAGTGATCGCTGAGATCCTGGTTGAAGACAGCTGAGGTGTATTTAGAGGGTATGTTAGTCAGGATGATATCTATGAGGGTACCCATGTTTACGGATTTAGGGTTGTACCTGGTAGGTTCGTTGATAATTTGCGTGAGATTGAGGGCATCTAGTTTGGATTGTAGGATGGCCGGGGTATTAAGCATATCCCAATTTAGGTCACCAAGCAGTACGAACTCTGAGGATAAATGGGGGGCAATCAATTCACATATGGTGTCCAGGGCACAGCTGGGGGCTGAGGGGGGTCTGTAGCAAGCGGCAACAGTGAGAGACTTATTTCTGGAAAGGTGGATTTTTAGAAGTAGAAGCTCAAACTGTTTGGGCACAGACCTGGATAGTATGATATAGCTATATCTCTACAGTAGATTGCAACTCCACCCCCTTTGGCAGTTCTATCTAGACGGAAAATGTTATAGTTGGGGATGAAAATTTCAGAATTTTTGGTGGCCTTCCTGAGCCAGGATTCAGACACTGCTAGAACATCAGGGCTGGCGGAGTGTGCTAACGCAGTGAATAACTCAAACTTAGGAAGTAGACTTCTGATATTTACGTGCAGGAATCCAAGACTTTTGCGATTACAGAAGTCAGCAAATGATAGCGCCTGGGGAGTAGGAGTGATACTGAGGGCTGCAGGGCCTGGGTTAGCCTCTACATCACCAGAGGAACAGAGGAGGACTAGAATAAGGATACGGCTAAAGGCTTTAAGAACTGGTCTTCTAGTGCGTTGGGTACATAGAATAAAGGGGGCAGATTTCCGGGTGTTGTAGAAAAGATTCAGGGCATTATGTACAGACAAGGATATGGAAGGATATGAGTAAAGTGGAGGTAAACCTAAGCGTTGGGTAACAATGAAAGAGATAGCATCACTGGAGGCACCAATTGAGTCGGTCTCCGCGTGTATGTGGGGTGGGACAAATTAGCTATCTAAGGCAGGTTTAGCTGGGCTGGGGGATCTACAGTGAAATAGTACAATTAGAAATAACCAAAACAACAATAAGCTAACCATGTTTGGGCTGAGGCTAAACATAAACAGGATGTAGTACCGTAAAAAGGAACAGTCCAGCAGACATCAGCTGTATAGCTGAGTTATCATAAGGTCCGGTGAACAGCAATAGGATAGTTCGGAGGCTGCTAAAGCACTAGCGAGTAAGAGGCCACGGCTAGCGTGTGCTAGCGGGCCGGGGCTAGCAGATGGAATCTTCGTGGTCGACGTCGTAACCACATCAGACGATTTCGTCGGCAGACCAGTCGTGTAGGATCGGCAGGGCTCCGTGTCAACACTAGGTGGTCCCGTCCGGTTGACAGAGAGTTAGATAGCCGGGAGATGGGCCTAGCTCAGGATGATTAGCCAGACCACAGCGTCCATTTTGTTGCAGCTAGCTGGTAGCGATGAATCCGGAGTTAAAGGTCCAGTGATTCAGTGATTCCGGCAGAAAAACTGATATGTTCTGGGTCGATAACGCGCTGTGCAGACTGGCCGAATAATAGTAATAGTCCAGACTAGAGCTGGCTGGTGAGTGGTGCAGGCCACGGACAATGGTGAAAAACCGCTAATGGTAGCTGATAGCAAGTAGCTAGTTAGCTGGCTAGCTAGTTTCAACTGGAGATTCTAGATAAAAGGTAAGTCAATAATAGAATCCGTTCCACATTGAGTGAGGCGGGTTGCAGGAAAGTATATTTTGTAGAAGGATGAAAAGTCTGATAGGGAAATATGTACGAAAAATAAAAAAAAAACAGGGTATTTATAGGCTATTTACAGACACACGACAAAAACAGAACTGCCCATCTTAATCTTTCCTTTTTATTGGCCAGTCTGAGATATGGCTTTTTCTTTGCAACTCTGCCTAGAAGGTCAGCATCCCGGAGTCGCCTCTTCACTGTTGACGTTGAGACTGGTGTTTTGGCGGGTACTATTTAATGAAGTTGCCAGTTGAGGACCTGTGAGGCGTCTGTTTCTCAAACTAGACACTCTAATGTATTTGTCCTCTTGCTCAGTTGTGCACCGGGGCCTCCCACTCCTCTTTCTATTCTGGTAAGAGCCAGTTTGCGCTGTTCTGTGAAGGGAGTAGTACACAGCGTTGTACGAGATCTTCAGTTTCTTGGCAATTTCTCACATGGAATAGCCTTCATTTCTCAGAACAAGAATAGACTGATGAGTTTCAGAAGAAAGTTATTTGTTTCTGGCCATTTTGAGCCTGTATCGAACCCACAATTGCTGATGCTCCAGATACTCAACTAGTTTCAAGAAGGCCAGTTTTATTGCTTCTTTAATCAGCACAACAGTTTTCAGCTGTGCTAACATAATTGCAAAAGGGTTTTCTAATGATGAATTAGCCTTTAAAAATGATAAACTTGGATTAGCAAACACAACGTGCCACTGGAACACAGGACTGATGGTTGATAATAATGGGCCTCTGTACGCCTATGTAGATATTCCATTAAAAAATCAGCCGTTTCCAGCTACAATGGCTATTTACAACATTAACAATGTCTACACTGTATTTCAGATCAATTTGATGTTATTTTAATGGACAAAAAAATTGCTTTTCTTTCCAGAAATAAATGACATTTCTATGTGACCCCAAACTTTTGAATGGTAGTGTACATGTGAAGAGGATTGAAACATTAACCTCATACTCACAAGGTACAGCAGTTAGTTACATTATTGTTTTAGATAATGTACAATGAGCCAACTGTAAAACCAAGCCATAAACCTAAACAAGCAACTGTTTGCTATATTGCCGTGTACAACATCAGTGAGTATGTTTAAGCTAATGCTAACCTCACTATCTCTGTCTCTGTGTTACCCAGGCATCTTCACTGCGCCCATTGATGGCCGCTACTTCTTCAGTGCAATCCTGACTGGCCACAAGAACGAGAAGATTGAGGCGGTGCTGTCCAAGTCCAACTACGGCATGGCCCGTGTGGACTCCGGGGGATACCAGCCAGAGGGCCTGGAGAACAAGCCGGTAGCCGAGGCCAAGATCACCCCTGGCTCCCTGGCCGTGTTCAACATCATCCTGCCCCTCCAGGCTGGAGACACAGTCTGCATTGACCTGGTCATGGGCAGGCTGGCCCACTCCGTAGAGCCTCTCACCATCTTCAGTGGAATGCTGCTGTATGAACAGGTGTAAGCCAGCGGGACAGAACCCCCATCTGGTTCTCCATCTGGAACATGAGAGAGGGAGAGGAAGGAAGAAACGGAAGAGGGACGAGGAAAGGGAGAGAAGAGAGGGGTTGGGGTTGGTCCCCTCCTGGACTGTTTAGACTCACGGTTTGAATTGACAACTGCTTTTCAAAGCAAAACGACAGGGCCAGAGATCGAGGTGGAATGACTTTATAACGACTTGTGAAACACGGGAACGAACGAGAACTAGGACACGACGACAACGACAGAAACGTGTTTCTCCCTCCGTGTGTTATTTCTGGCCCTCTGATGTTGTGAGACCAGGTGAATTGCTTGAATAAACACAGGATATACTATAAACTGAGCAGCAGACTGAGAGACTTCGCCCTTCATTTTTTTACCTAGCTCGTCCAGTATTTGGAGAGGTGTTTTCACACCAAATTTGTAACTAATACTGCAGGATTGTTCTACTGTTATTGTTATTACTATGCCCCTGTTTCTATATTACTCACTCCAGGCATGGGGCTCAGAGTACAGTAGTCCTCCGTGCGCCACTGCCGACCATAAAGTCTCCTTGACATCCCATCTACACCTTCTCTGCGAAGTGTTTCCCTGCCAAAGAGCCAGAAACACTGTCAAGTTCTGAGGTTAACCGGAAGTACGGAATGTGTTGTCTGGGGGATAGCTGATTTCTATTGTGATGAATTCACATTTTGTGATATTTTTTTATATTATCATGCACCTTTCTGCCTCCTTGTCTGTCTTTTCTGTAATGTCTTTGGCCCGGCGATCCAAAGCTTGGCCTTGTTGACGATATTTTCAGCTACAGCTTAAGTGCGTTATACTGGTGGTTCCCAAAGCCATTTATGTGCCGTCCGTGACCTAGCTAAATGTGCCGACCGTGACCTAGCTAAATGTGCCGTCCGTGACCTAGCTAAATGTGCCGTCCGTGACCTAGCTAAATGTGCCGTCCGTGACCTAGCTAAATGTGCCGTCCGTGACCTAGCTAAATGTGCCATCCGTGACCTAGCTAAATGTGCTATCCGTGACCTAGCTAAATGTGCCGTCCGTGACCTAGTTAAATGTGCCATCCGTGACCTAGCTAAATGTGCCATCCGTGACCTAGCTAAATGTGCCATCCGTGACCTAGCTAAATTGCCGTCTGTGACCTAGCTAAATGTGCCGTCCGTGACCTAGCTAAATGTGCCGACCGTGACCTAGCTAAATGTGCCAACCGTGACCTAGCTAAATGTGCCAACCGTGACCTAGCTAAATGTGCTATCCGTGACCTAGCTAAATGTGCCGTCCGTGACCTAGTTAAATGTGCCATCCGTGACCTAGCTAAATGTGCCATCCGTGACCTAGCTAAATGTGCCATCCGTGACCTAGCTAAATGTGCCGTCCGTGACCTAGCTAAATGTGCCGTCCGTGACATAGCTAAATGTGCCGTCCGTGACATAGCTAAATGTGCCGTCCGTTACCTAGCTAAATGTGCCGTCCGTGACCTAGCTAAATTGCCGTCCGTGACCTAGCTAAATGTGCCGTCCGTGACCTAGCTAAATGTGCCATCCGTGACCTAGCTAAATGTGCCGTCCGTGACCTAGCTAAATGTGCCTTCCGTGACCTAGCTAAATGTGCCGACCGTGACCTAGCTAAATGTGCCGACCGTGACCTAGCTAAATGTGACATCCGTGACATAGCTAAATGTGCTGTCCGTGACCTAGCTAAATGTGCCTTCCGTGACCTAGCTAAATGTGCCGTCCGTGACCTAGCTAAATGTGCCATCCGTGACCTAGCTAAATGTGCCGTCCGTGACCTAGCTAAATGTGCCGTCCGTGACATGGCTAAATGTGCAGACCGTGACCTAGCTAAATGTGCCATCCTTGACCTAGCTAAATGTGCCATCCGTGACCTAGCTAAATGTGCCATCCGTGACCTAGCTAAATGTGCAGTCCGTGACCTGAAGCCTTCAGACATGTCTTTCCATGCTTCAGATGAATGAAAGAATGTTCCTAGCCCAAAACCCAGCCTTAACCACAACCAAGTAGGAATTTGCCTCAACCAAACAGAGGGAAACTCTGCCCTATACCCCAGTACAGAGGGAAACTCTGCATTATACCCCACTACAGAAGGAAACCCTGCATTATACCCTAGTGCAGAGGGAAACTCTGCATTATACCCTAGTGCAGAGGGAAACTCTGCATTATACCCTAGTGCAGAGGGAAACTCTGCATTATACCCTAGTACAGAGGGAAACTCTGCATTATACCCCACTACAGAAGGAAACCCTGCATTATACCCCAGTACAGAGGGAAACTCTGCCCTATACCCCAGTACAGAAGGAAACTCTGCCTTATGCCCCAGTATATAAGGAAACCCTGCCTTATGCCCCAGTATAGAAGGAAACCCTGCCTTATGCCCCAGTATAGAAGGAAACCCTGCCTTATACCCCAGTATAGAAGGAAACCCTGCCTTATACCCCAGTATAGAAGGAAACCCTGCCTTATACCCCAGTACAGAAGGAAACCCTGCCTTATACCCCAGTATAGAAGGAAACCCTGCCTTATGCCCCAGTATAGAAGGAAACCCTGCCTTATACCCCAGTATAGAAGGAAACCCTGCCTTATACCCCAGTACAGAAGGAAACCCTGCCTTATACCCCAGTGCAAAAGGACCACATGGCCTATAGATCCTTTATTACATCATTAGAGGGAATCAAATGATGTGACTCAACAATCTTCAACCTAACACAGAGTCACACCCCAAAGTGTGAGAAAGTCGGTCTGAAAGCCTTGGTGATGAGTCAGGAGGAAGTATTTTCCTCCCCCTTTGCCTTGAACCCCCCGTTTCCCCCTCAGGCACACGATGTGTTGAATGGCTGCCAAGGGCCACAAGGAGTGAGCGAATCATAAACAGAACGCTGTGCTCTTTCTCTAAGAGGGTCCCGATGGACATCATTAATCGAGCTACAATGAAGTGTTTACACAGGACCATAAATAAGAAGCTCCCTCTGACAGCAGGGGATGATTACTTGGCCATGTCTGTCGGCCCTCCAATGGCCCAGTGATACAGAGGACTATGTCCTCTAATGGCCCAGTGATACAGAGGACTATGTCCTCTAATGGCCCAGTGATACAGAGGACTATGTCCTCTAATGGCCCAGTGATACAGAGGACTAGGTCCTCTAATGGCCCAGTGATACAGAGGACCAGGTCCTCTAATGGCCCAGTGATACAGAGGACTATGTCCTCTAATGGCCCAGTGATACAGAGGAATAGGTCCTCTAATGGCCCAGTGATACAGAGGACTATGTCCTATAATGGCCCAGTGATACAGAGGACTAGGTCCTCTAATGGCCCAGTGATACAGAGGACTATGTCCTCTAATGGCCCAGTGATACAGAGGAATAGGTCCTCTGATGGCCCAGTGATACAGAGGACTAGGTCCTCTAATGGCCCAGTGATACAGAGGACTATGTCCCCTAATGGCCCAGTGATACAGAGGACTAGGTCCTCTAATGGCCCAGTGATACAGAGGACTATGTCCTCTAATGGCCCAGTGATACAGAGGAATAGGTCCTCTGATGGCCCAGTGATACAGAGGACTATGTCCTCTAATGGCCCAGTGATACAGAGGACTATGTCCTCTAATGGCCCAGTGATACAGAGGAATAGGTCCTCTGATGGCCCAGTGATACAGAGGACTAGGTCCTCTAATGGCCCAGTGATACAGAGGGATATGTCCTCTAATGGCCCAGTGATACAGAGGACTAGGTCCTCTAATGGCCCAGTGATACAGAGGAATATGTCCTCTGATGGCCCAGTGATACAGAGGACTATGTCCTCTAATGGCCCAGTGATACAGAGGAATAGGTCCTCTAATGGCCTATTGATACAGAGGACTAGGTCCTCTAATGGCCCAGTGATACAGAGGACTAGGTCCTCTAATGGCCCAGTGATACAGAGGACTAGGTCCTCTAATGGCCCAGTGATACAGAGGAATAGGTCCTCTGATGGCCCAGTGATACAGATGGCTCCCCAACAAATGACCCGTTGTTGTGGGCTGCTCAGCTAATCACTTTGCTGGCCACTGTGCCCAGGTTAATGAGGTCACATTGTTGACAAAAAAGCCCCCCCAAAAAGTTAATGAATCGATACTGCCGAATAATAATTCATAATATATCAATGATTTATTTCCATACCTATACATATATTTCATATCAATATGAATATAATCCAAGTGTTTCTCATAATAGTAGAGACAAGTGTCATTACAAATCCGCGGACTGGTTCATAATAATAGACCATTCCACCCTGTGCATTGTTTCACGCGATATGATTGCAAACGTGACTTTCATTGAAATTGAGCTACAACAATGAGGTGCTTTCAGAGCGGGGCTTTCAGAGCTGGGCTTTCAGAACGGGGCTTTCAGTGCTAGGCTTTCAGAGCGGGGCTTTCAGCGCGGGGCAGAGACAAGAAAAATAAAGAAGATTTCATTTGAACAGAAACATGAAATGAACCCATTTGAAGTGAACACATTTGAAGTGAACACATTTGAACTGAACACATTTGAAGTGAACACATTTCTTTAGTAAAAAGGTGCTGCTGATAACACTGCCATCGTCGTCGAGGAAGCTGGAATTATTTTGAATGAACGTGCGAAAGTAACATGCTTTTTAAGTGATTTGTTTGACAATCAGATGAAAACATCATGACTGGTTGTGGTCATGGTACATTAAAAAGTAATACATTTTTACAGTTAAATTACATGTCTTTACTATAAAACCCATAGGAGGAGGGAGGGGGGGAAGCTCAGACTGGCCTCTGCCTGGGTCCTCCAAATCACTAAGTCCCTGTACAGAGGAATAGTTACAGGCCCTCTAATGGCCCAGTGATACAGGGGACTATGTCCTATAATGGCCCAGTGATACAGAGGACTAGGTCCTCTAATGGCCCAGTGATACAGAGGACTAGGTCCTCTAATGGCCCAGTGATACAGAGGACTATGTCCTCTAATGGCCCAGTGATACAGAGGAATAGGTCCTCTGATGGGCCAGTGATACAGAGGAATAGGTCCTCTGATGGGCCAGTGATACAGAGGAATAGGTCCTCTGATGGCCCAGTGATACAGAGGAATAGGTCCTCTGATGGGCCAGTGATACAGAGGACTAGGTCCTCTGATGGGCCAGTAATACAGAGGAATAGGTCCTCTGATGGGCCAGTGATACAGAGGAATAGGTCCTCTAATGGCCCAGTGATACAGAGGAATAGGTCCTCTAATGGCCCAGTGATACAGAGGAATAGGTCCTCTGATGGCCCAGTGATACAGAGGAATAGGTCCTCTGATGGCCCAGTGATACAGAGGAATAGGTCCTCTGATGGCCCAGTGATACAGAGGAATAGGTCCTCTAATGGCCCAGTGATACAGAGGAATAGGTCCTCTAATGGCCCAGTGATACAGAGGAATAGGTCCTCTGATAGGCCAGTGATACAGAGGAATAGTTACAGGTCCTCTAATGGCCCATGTGATACTCCGCAGACCAGTGTTTCCCAACCCAGTCCTAGGTTCCCCCTTAACCATTACATATTTGATCTATTCCAACACTAGCGCACCAGAACAGGATGAGGATGGTATTATCCAGTGCTGCATTAGACTGCTAGACTATGTGTTATTTACAAGGAAACGATTCAGCTTACATATCATCAAATGGATACCAATATGTTTGGCAGAGATGTACACCATTACAATCAAATACATGGAGTTTTATTCAAATGATATGTCTATTGGAAGATTCAGCATTTGGTTGAGAAGCTGCTATCTTGCTACTCTGTGCCTTTGAGTATTTCTCCACTTGGTCCTAAACTGACCTCTGTGTTTGTTATTGCTAAAGGAATCCCAAAGGTTTACTCAATCTATGAAGTCATTAACAACTGGTCATTCCACATGCCAACCAAAGCAATGCTATGTATTAAAGGTCCAGTTCTTCTTTGTTTTTACAGATCCTCCTCCCCACAGTCTAACCTTTTGCCTTGAATGTGTGATTTGGCGACACGTGTGGTTCAAATAAAGATATTTAATTTTACAGCCATGTCGTCTCCGTAGGAGTTTGTTTCTGATTAATTCTCTGCTCTGAGGGTTAGGACTCTAATCTAGCTGCTCAGAGGGTTAGGACTCTAATCTAGCTGCTCAGAGGGTTAGGACTCTAATCTAGCTGCTCAGAGGGTTAGGACTCTAATCTAGCTGCTCAGAGGGTTAGGACTCTAATCTAGCTGCTCAGAGGGTTAGGACTCTAATCTAGCTGCTCAGAGGGTTAGGACTCTATCTAGCGCTCTAGCTGCTCAGAGGGTTAGGACTCCAATCTAGCTGCTCAGAGGGTTAGGACTCTAATCTAGCTGCTCAGAGGGTTAGGACTCTAATCTAGCTGCTCAGAGGGTTAGGACTCTAATCTAGCGGGAAAGGAGATGGTGATGATGTCATGTTTTGAGATGTCTTCTGTCAGCGCAGTATGTAGTTTGAGCAGACCTCTCGGTTCAGTGCTCTTGTGTGACTGCTTAAATGTATATAGGCAGTGATCCAAGTCCTGTGATTTATTAATAAACACAGTATATGGTACGGAATCAAGTATTTCCATAACTGGACCACTTTTCCTGAAAGATTTACTGAACCATTTGGAACTTTAGTCAAATAATGTATAAATGGTTTGATTCATTTATATTCCTGCACATTAATAAACATGACATTTTGCTTTCCCCTCGACCTGTGCTGTAAAGGCTGAGAAAGAGAAAGTGTTGAGCCACGTCATTTTTCCAGTCTGCAAGCCAAAAAGAGAAAGTCATGCTGGGAGAGCTGCCTGTGAATTCATGGAAAGAATAACATCTCACAGCTGTCCATCAACGGAGACACAGAGATCTCATTTTTGACGAACTGAGTCCCCTCTTCCCTTTAGTTTCTCCTGCACTGAGCTGGGATGGGACTTTAACAACTCTGGACGTCTAAACCAGGCTTTCCCAACACTCTCCTCGGCCACCACAGACATTTAACATTTTAGTTTTAACCCTTAACTGACACACCTGATTCAATAAGTCAAATAATCATCAAGCCTTTGACTAATTAAGTCAGGTGTGCCAGTTTAGGGTTAAAACTAAAATGTGAAATGTTTGGGGGGGCTCGAGGAGAGGGTTGGGAATCCCTGGTCTAGACGTTCAGGGGGTCTGGAGGAGAGGGTTATGGTTAGGGTAACCCTGGTGGAGACGTCCAGCGGGGCTGGAGGAGAGGGTTATGGTTAGGGTAACCCTGGTGGAGACGTCCAGCGGGGCTGGAGGAGAGGGTTATGGTTAGGGTAACCCTGGTGTAGATGTCCAGTGGGGCTGGAGGAGAGGGTTATGGTTAGGGTAACCCTGGTGGAGACTGAGAGATCTCCATGAAACACACCCTTTCCATGTTTTCCCCCTTTTAGTTTCTTCTTCATTAGATGTCCTTCATCTGTGGAAAGAACCCAGATCCTGCCCTCTAAAGCCTGGCCCTCTGAAGCCTGGCCCTCCGATGCCAGATTGTCTCCTCCGGTTGGAATGAGAGAACCTGAATGGGCCTGAGAGTTGCCACTATTTTATGATGTGTATGAAGTGTGACTCTGTTCTGCCCTGGGTGTGTGTGTGAGAGTGAGGGGGGTTTGAGAGTTTGTGGCTGGAATTTGTACACACCAGCTGTGTGTGGCCGGGACAGGGTGGGATACTGACATATTTCCTGTTTATCTTTCATTTTTACACACACACACACACACACACACACACACACAGTTTTGTATTGCTCTCCTAGTGGGGACCAAATAATTGATTTCCCTCCAAAATCCTATTTTCCCTAACCCCTAACCCTAAATCTAACCCTAACCCTAACCTTAACCCTTAACCTAACCTTAACCCTAAACCTAACCTTAACCCCAAAACCCTAACCCTAAAACTAAACCTAACCCTAACTCCTAACCCTGACCCTAACCGTAAGCCCTAACCCTAACCTTAATTTTAACCCTAACCCTAATTGTAACCCTTTACCCTAAAATAGCATTTTTCCTTGTGTGGGACAGGCAAAATGTCCTCACTTGTCCAAATGTTCCAAACATTGTACATTTGAATTCCGTAAAGTGAGTGTGGAAGAGGTGAAAAAAATATTGTTGTCTATCAACAATGGCAAGCCACCGGGGTCTGACAACTTGGATGGAAAATTACTGAGGATGATAGCGGACGATATTGCCACTCCTATTTGCCATCTCTTCAATCTAAGCCTACAGGAAAGTGTGTGCCCTCAGGCCTGGAGGGAAGCAAAAGTCATTCCACTATCCAATAATAGCAAGGCACCCTTTACTGGCTCAAATACGTGACCAATCAGCCTGATACCAACCCTTAGTAAACTTTTGGATAAAATGGTGTTTGAACAGATACACTGCTATTTTTGAGTAAACAAATTAACAACAGATTTTCACCATGCTTATAGGGAAGGGCATTCAACATGTATGGCACTTACACAAATGGCTGATGATTTGCTGAAAGAAATTGATAATAAACGATTGTGGGAGCTTTTTTGTTAGACATCAGTGCAACTTTTGACATTATCGATCATAATCTGCTGCTGGAAAAATGTATATGTTATGGCTTTACATCCCCTGTGTAAAGGAGTGGGGGGAAAAAGTATTTAGTCAGCCACCAATTGTGCATGTTCTCCCACTTAAAAAGATGAGAGAGGCCTGTAATTTTCATCATAGGTACACGTCAACTATGATAGACAAATTGAGAATAAAAAATCCAGAAAATCACATTGTAGGATTTTTTATGAATTTATTTGCAAATTATGGTGGAAAATAAGTATTTGGTCACCTACAAACAAGCAAGATTTCTGTCTCTCACAGACCGGTAACTTCTTCTTTAAGAGGCTCCTCTGTCCTCCACTCGTTACCTGTATTAATGGCACCTGTTTGAACTTGTTATCAGTATAAAAGACACCTGTTGTGACACTCTGGCTCCACGGACCTTTATTCTTGAGCCAGGGGTGTTCATGTTCATTTGTTTTGGGTGTATTTCTATGTTGGGGTGTCTAGGTTGTGGTATTTCTATGTTGGGTGATTGTGCTTGTTTGTGTTCATTGACTCCCAATCGGAGGTAACGAGTGTCAGCTGTTCGGCTCGTTATCTCTGATTGGGAGCCATATTTAAGATGTAGGTTTTCTGTTGTTAGTTGTGGGTTATTGTTCCTTGTTCCAGTGTCTCAGTTTCTGTTGTTGTCTATATTGGACTTGACGCATCGTCTTGTTTGTTGTTTTTGTATTTACGTGCTTTACATATTAAAGTCATGTTCACTCGCAACGCTGCGCATTGGTCTCCTCCTTCAGACGATCGTGACACCTGTCCTCAACCTCAAACAGTCACACTCCAAACTCCACTATGGCCAAGACCAAAGAGCTGTCAAAGGACACCAGAAACAAAATTGTAGACCTGCACCAGGCTGGGAAGACTGAATCTGCAATAGGTAAGCAGCTTGGTTTGAGGAAATCAACTGTGGGAGCAATTATTAGGAAATGGAAGACATACAAGACCACTGATAATCTTCCTCGATCTGGGGCTCCACGCAAGATCTCACCCCGTGGGGTCAAAATGATCACAAGAACGGTGAGCAAAAATCCCAGAACCACACAGGGGGACCTAGTGAATGACCTGCAGAGAGCTGGGACCAAAGTAACAAAGCCTACCATCAGTAACACACTACGCCGCCAGGGACTCAAATCCTGCAGTGCCAGACGTGTCCCCCTGCTTAGGCCCGTCTGAAGTTTGCTAGAGTACATTTGGATGATCCAGAAGAGGATTGGGAGAATGTCATATGGTCAGATGAAACCAAAATAGAACTTTTTGGTAAAAACTCAACTCGTCGTGTTTGGAGGACAAAGAATGCTGAGTTGCATCCAAAGAACACCATACCTACTGTGAAGCATTTTCTGCAAAGGGACCAGGACGACTGATCCGTGTAAAGGAAAGAATGAATGGGGCCATGTATCGTGAGATTTTGAGTGAAAACCTCCTTCCATCAGCAAGGGCATTGAAGATGAAACGTGGCTGGGTCTTTCAGCATGACAATGATCCCAAACACACCGCCCGGGCAACGAAGGAGTGGCTTCGTAAGAAGCATTTCAAGGTCCTGGAGTGGCCTAGCCAGTCTCCAGATCTCAACTCCATAGAAAATCTTTGGAGGGAGTTGAAAGTCCGTGTTGCCCAGCGACAGCCCCAAAACATCACTGCTCTAGAGGAAATCTGCATGGAGGAATGGGCCAAAATACCAGCAACAGTGTGTGAAAACCTTGTGAAGACTTACAGAAAACGTTTGACCTGTGTCATTGCCAACTAAGGGTATATAACAAAGAAACTTTTGTTATTGACCAAATACTTATTTTCCACCATAATTTGCAAATAAATTCATAAAAAATCCTACAATGTGATTTTCTGGATTTTTTTTCTCATTTTGTCTGTCATAGTTGACGTGTACCTATGATGAAAATTACAGGCCACTCTCATCTTTTTAAGTGGGAGAACATGCACAATTGGTGGCTGACTAAATACTTTTTCCCCCACTGTACCTGTCTAACAGAACACATAGAATGTTCTTTAATGGAAGCCTCTCCAACATAATCCAGGTAGAGTCAGGCATTCCCCAGGGCAGCTGTCTAGGCCCCTTACTTTCTAAAATCTTTACTAATGACCTTCCACTGGCTTTGAGTAAAGCCTGTGTGTCTATGTATGCAGATGACTCAACACTATACACGTCAGCTACCACAGCTAGTGAAATCACTGCAACACTTAACAAAGAGCTGCTGTCAGTTTTAGAATGGGTGGCAAGTAATAAGATAGTACTAAATATTTCAAAAACTCAAAGCATTGTATTTGGGACAAATCATTCACTAAACCCTAAACCTCAACTAAATTTTCTAATGAATAATGTGGAAATTGAGCAAGTTGACGATACTAAACTGCATGGAGTAACCCTGGATTGTAAACTGTCATGGTCAAAACATATTGATGTAACAGTAGCTAAGATGGGGAGAGGTCTGTCCATAATAAAGCACTGCTCTGCCTTCTTAACAACACTATCAACAAGGCAGGTCCTGCAGGCCCTAGATTTGTCGCACCTGGACTACTGTCCAGTCATGTGGTCAGATGCCACAAAGAGGGACTTAGGAAAATTACAGTTGGCCCAGAATAGGGCAGCACAGCTGGCCCTTAAATGTACACGGAGAGCTAACATTAATAATATCACTATATGCACAATTTGCACTTCATCACTACTTGTATATGTGAGAAATATTAACATGTTGAATGCACTGAGCTGTCTGTTTAAACTACTAGCACACAGCTCGGACACACATGCATACCCCACGAGACATGCCATCAGAGGTCTCTTCACAGTCCCCTAGTCCAGAACAGACTATGGGAGGTGCACAGTACTACATAGAGCCATGACTACATGGAACTCTATTCCACATCAAGTAACTGATGCAAGGAGTAAAATTAGATTTAAAAAACAGATAAAAATACACCTTGTGGAACAGCGGGGACTCTGAAGAGACATACACACACACGATAACATACGCACTGTACACACACGTACACATGGATTTTGTGTTGTAGATATGTGGTTGTAGAGTAGGGACCTGAGGGAACACACTTAATGTGTTGTGAAATCTGTTGTGAAATGTATTGTAATGTTTTTAATTGTATATAACTGCCTTAATTTAGCTGGAGCCCAGGAAGAGTAGCTGCTGCCTTGGCAGGAACTAATGAGGATCCATAATAAACCCCAGGAAGAGTAGCTGCTGCCTTGGCAGGAACTAATGAGGATCCATAATAAACCCCAGGAAGAGTAGCTGCTGCCTTGGTGTCACGCCCTGGCTCTGGGGACTCTTCTATGTTGAGCCAGGGTGTTAGTTTCTTTGTGTAGTGTCTATGTTTCGTTTTCTATGTTCACGATCTAGTTTAAGTGTTTCTATGTTGGCCGGGGTGGTTCTCAATCAGAGGCAACGAGAATCAGCTGTTGCTTGTTGTCTCTGATTGGGAACCATACTTAGGCAGCCTGTTGTGCACTTGTGTTTGGTGGGATCTTGTTCCGTGTTGGGTTGTGTTCATGACCGAGGACTTCACGTATCGTTTTGTTGTTTTTGTATTTTGTATCATGTTGCTAGTACACTATTAAAAGAGATGTACGCATATCACGCTGCGCCTTGGTCCAATCATTATGACGATCGTGACACTTTGCAGGAACTAATGAGGATCCATAATAAACCCCAGGAAGAGTAGCTGCTGCCTTGGCAGGAACTAATGGGGATCCATAATAAATACAATACAATACAGTTGAAATTGTATATGACGCACATCATTGTCCATTTTTGTCCATCAGAAGTACAACTCAAGTCAACTATTTTCAGATGAGTTTGTCTGTCAAAAGATGGACCGTTTGTGCCTTTTTTGTTGGACAATCATCATTAATTAATCTTAATTATACAGTACAACAGGTGGAATTTGATTTAAGTACTATGTATGTTAGCACTGTATCTAGCTCAGGACAGCATTAACACATCAAGCAGATACAGATTAAATGCTTTATAGTTAGCTAGAATTTTCTTTCTTTGTCACAATTTCATTGTATCCATGGCTACCTGGCAACCTAACGTATGAGATTATTGTAGACTTCCTCCTGCAAAAGGAAAGGTTATTGTTTAATTGATTGATTGAGTTTGTAGTATAGCAAAGACAGATGATAAAGTATGATGCCGCTAGTTATCACAAGAAAACATACGGCACAGATTTCCAATGTGGTCCTCGGTGCGGAAACGCCGAAATAACCATAGAACTAAAGCACATATGATGAGCCCAGTGGCTTCCTCACCATGATGACAGGGTGTAGATCACCGATGTGTTGAAAGTGTTGACTGCTCCAAGCGTGTCCACAGGGGCCTCCGGTGGAAAGGCATCTGAGTGGACAACTACGCCATCAGGACCCATCTCATCTGCCCCTTTCTCTGCCCAGGCACATGAGGACAGCGCTGGAACACAGGAAGCACACTTACAGGACAGGACCGCAGGTGTTGAGACAACCCTGGTAAACTGGATCAGAATATGAAGAGTTAAACAATAGCATCGAACCTAAAGTATTAGACTGTACTCCCCACATCCTCGACCTCTTTGCCCCATTCTGTCCGTCCATCCGTCCGTCTATCTCCTGCCTGCCTGTATGTGTGTCCCTCTCTCTCTCTTCCTCTTTCTCTCTCTTTTCTTCTATCTGTGTGTCCCACTCACCCTTTCTTCACTCTGTGGTAGAGGCCCTTCGGAGCACTGGCAGCAGAGTGGAAGGCAAAGAGCACGGCCGCATCCTTGTTGACCAACTCCTGGAGAGGAGAGGTTGCTTCAGGACATGTTCAGGGCAGATAAAGGAGACAGCAGTGTTTTATAACATTAACAGGTTTGGTCATTTCCTCTCCAATGCCAGCAATGACAGAAGCAGGATTAAAATATATTTGATTTATTTATCTATGCATGCTATTCAAATCATGCCTACTCAGTTATTGCTTATATTGTACCACAGTGAACACTCCATCCTTAAATGCAAACTATGAATCAAGAATACATTGTCTTATAAACCCATGTGGGCTAGGCATTCTGAAGATACAAGACACTAATAATAACATAAATCAAAATCAATCTCCAAACCTGTAAAGAAAGCTGAACAATATGTTTTGGGAATTAAATGACAATATACAACATTCCTACAGAACATTGTCTGTCTTAGATGTTGTTTGGGAGGCATTGTCCCAGGGTGTTATGGGTGATACTCATACTATCAGTGAGGGCGTCGTACCACATCGCCATAGTGAAAGAGCTGGTACAGAGGCTCCCTGGTCTTCTCTATCTCCACGGATGCAGTGATCCTGTGTTGCTGTGGCAACGTGCTGTTAGACAGCTCCACCTGCTGGATCATCTTCACCTTCTCCTCAGCATTACGACACGGTCATGTGACAAACATGTCATAAATATGACCAAAACCTGTCATGGTCATGGATGTTGCAAACATGTTATAAACATTACCAAAACCTGTCGTGGCTGTTATAAACATGACCAAAATTATATTATTTTAAGTGTTAGAAACTGTACATGATACAAAACAGTTGATCATGATTAAATCTATAGGAGTGTTCTATTAGGTCAATGTTAACCTCTGTGTGATTCACTCTACAGTAGAGTTCTATTAGGTCCATGTTAACCTCTGTGTGATTCAATATACAGTAGAGGTCTATTAGTTAAATGTCAACATCTGTGTGATTCAATCTAGAGTAGAGTTCTATTAGGTCAATGTTAACCTCTGTTTGATTCAATCTAGCGTAGAGTTCTATTTGGTCAATGTTAACCTCTGTGTGATTAAATCACCTCCCAGTGGATCCATTTGTACAGATTGAAATCTGCTGGGGAGTAGTCTACTTCTGACACATCAGGCAGGTTTCTGTGAGAGAGAGGGAGAGGGAGAGGGAGAGGGAGAGAGGGAGAGGGAGACAGGAGGGGGAGGGAGAGGGAGAGGGAGAGGGAGAGGGAGAGGAGAGAGGGGGGAGAGGGAGAGGGAGAGGGAGGGGAGAGGGAGAGGGAGAGGGAGGGGGGGGGAGGAGAGGGAGAGGGAGGGAAAGGAATGAAAGAGGGAGAGAGAGGAGGAAAGAGAGAGCAAAGCGAGGGGGAAGGCGGGAGACTTTGTCCTTTTTAAACAAAATTGTCATTAACTGATTGGATAAGAAATCAAGGCCAGCTAAATAGATCTAGAAATATATGAGAAAGTTAGGCTTCTGAGTTCATAATCAAAAAAACTGGGAGGTGGGGAAGGGCTGTCAATCTCAAAATCCAATTGGAGTCATCTATACCATTGGGCCTAAACTAAGGCACTCTACCATGACAGAGAAAACTCATCTTGCAACGAGAGAAAGTTCATTCTTTTACCCATACTTCTCCATGGGAAATCAATCATATCGCATCACATTACGTTACAATGGGGGGTGGGAAATGGCATTGTGACAACAACACGGTTAGCATGCAGTGATGAAATCGGTAGAAATTAGAGATGATCCCCAGAACTAACCCATGCAGCACCACTGACAGACACGCCCCTAACCTCATATTTATGGGATATACTGCTACAAACCCTAAATGACTCCAGAGTAGCATCCACCTATACTGAAATTACTCAAACACTAACATCACTAACTCAGTAACTCACTAACTCCACTAACTCACTAACATCACTAACTCACTAACTCACTAACTCACTAACATCACTAACTCAGTAACTCACTAACTCCACTAACTCACTAACATCACTAACATAACTAACTCAGTAACTCACTAACTCCACTAACTCACTAACATCACTAACTCACTAACTCACTAACTCACTAACATCACTAACTCAGTAACTCACTAACTCCACTAACTCACTAACATCACTAACTCACTAACTCACTAACTCACTAACATCACTAACATCACTAACATCACTAACATCACTAACATCACTAACATCACTAACTCCCTAATTCACTAACATCACTAACTCACTAACTCACTAACTCACTAACTCACTAACATCACTAACTCACCAACTCACTAACTCACTAACTCACTAACTCACTAACTCACTAACATCACTAACATCACTAACATCACTAACATCACTAACTCACTAACTCACTAACTCAGTAACATCACTAGACTCACTAACATCACTAACATCACCAACTCACTAACATCACTAACTCAGTAACTCACTGACTCCACTAACATCACTAACATCACCAACTCACTAACTCACTAACTCACTACATCACTAACTCCACTACTCACTAACATCACTAACATCACTAACATCACTAACATCACTAACATCACTAACTCACTAACATCACTGACTCACTATCATCACTAACATCACTAACATCACTAACATCACTAACATCACTAACATCACTAACATCACTGACTCACTATCTCACTAACATCACTAACATCACTAACATCACTAACATCACTAACATCACTAACATCACTGACATCACTATCTCACTAACATCACTAACATCACTAACATCACTAACATCACTAACATCACTAACATCACTAACATCACTGACTCACTATCTCACTAACATCACTAACTCACTAACATCAATATCTCACTAACATCACTAACTCACTAACATCACTATCTCACTAACATCACTAACATCACTAGCATAACTAACATAACTGACTCACTATCTCATTAACATCACTAACTTCACTAACTCACCAACATCACTAACATCACTAACATCACTAACATCACTGACTCACTATCTCACTAACATCACTAACTCACTAACATCACTATCTCACTAACATCACTAACTCACTAACATCAATATCTCACTAACATCACTAACTCACTATCTCACTAACATCACTAACATCACTAACATCACTGACTCAGTAACATCACTAACATCACTAACTCACTAACATCACTGACTCACTATCTCACTAACATCACTAACATCACTAACATCACTAACTCACTATCTCACTAACATCACTAACATCACTAACAACACTAACATCACTAACATCACTAACTCACTAACATCACTAACTCACTAACATCACTAACATCACTAACTCAGTAACTCACTAACTCCACTAACTCACTAACATCACTAACTCACTAACTCACTAACTCACTAACATCACTAACTCAGTAACATCACTGACTCACTAACATCACTAACATCACTAACATCACTAACATCACTAACATCACTAACATCACTAACTCACTAACATCACTGACTCACTATCTCACTAACATCACTAACATCAATAACATCACTAACATCACTAACATCACTGACTCACTATCTCACTAACATCACTAACATCACTAACATCACTAACATCACTAACATCACTGACTCACTATCTCACTAACATCACTAACTCACTAACATCACTATCTCACTAACATCACTAACTCACTAACATCACTATCTCACTAACATCACTAACATCCGAGCATAACTAATAACTGACTCACTATCTCATTACACATCACTAACTTCACTAACTCACCAACATCACTAAAATCACTAACATCATAACATCACGGACTCACGATCTCACTACATCACTAAATCACTAAACATCACAACAAACTCCACAAACACTAACATCACTAACCACACGCACAACCATAACACCATAACATCACTGAAAACCCCGAACACACGAACCACAACCCCAACATCACA